AGTCACCTTCAACGTATTCTCCACTTGGTTCAATACACCTATCAAGACGCATTTTCCACTGCTCAAAACAGTTTTTGAAGTTACCAGTTGAGATCCCTTTTAGTGCTTCTGCCCTTTTTTGTTTTATCTCTTCCACTTTGGCAAAACGTTTCCCTTGGAGGAATTTTTTTCATCCGGGGAAACAAACAAAAAAAAAAGTCGCTCAGAACGAGATCAAGTGAATAAAGAGGGTGGGACATGGGGGTTATGCCATTTTTGGTAAAAAACTACCGAACACTCATAAATCATCCATGGGCAAACGTGTTGAAAGAATCCATCTGTCATCATAAGTGGGCAGACGTGTTGAAAGAATCTCCAAAAAAAATTCACGGAACCCGAATGCAGTCTCTCACAACGACATTCGGTTCCTAGAACACTTACCTAGTGGGGGAAACCTGGACTTCAAGGGTCTCACCCTCCGAAAGATAATTCTGTTTTTGGGGGGTCCTCCTCTTATGTTCTTATTAAATATTCAAGGAATGGTATTCGGGTGAGCTTGAAGGAGCTTTGGAGGGATGTATTGGGAGCAGGCATATGTTCTTTAAGCAAAGGGAAGGTGAAAATAAACAAACCTGATACTTACTTCACTTATGGGAGCTGACTGACCAGAGAGAGAGAGCTGAGTCCACACATAGGGAGAGTGCTGGATACCAGATATGGAAGCCATTGGAATCAGAATGGAGAGGCCTGGGATGGCTGGCCTCTGGAGTTTGGACTTCTATAGAACTTCCTCTTTGGACTTCCTGTAGGGGAAGGGGAGGACAGGATGATTATAGTACCTCAAACAGAGTGCTTTGAGACCAGAGTAAACACAATTATCCAACCAAGAAAAGAGCGCGTGCACAGATAAGCAATGGCTTCTACATCCTCCATCCATAGAATGATGCCACAGCAATCAAGCTCCCCACACACCAGATGGTCCTGCAGCCCATTTGAAGTGGAAGTGGAAGAGAAGGAAATCATGCACAGATCCACACCCTCTCAGTTGGGATTGTGATATGCCTCCAGGCTCTTCTCTTTGGCCATGACTGCTGGGAAGAAAGAGAAAAGGGAGCCGGGCTTGGTGGCTCAGCCTGTAATCCCGCACCTTTGGGAGGCTGAGATGAGTGGAT